AGGGTGCGGGATGGGGGGGATGGAGGTAGTGGGGAGGGTGCGGGATGGGGGGGATGGAGGTAGTGGGGAGGGTGCGGGATGGGGGGATGGAGGTAGTGGGGAGGTAGCGGGGGAGGGGGGATGGAGGTAGTGGGGAGGGTGCAGGATGGGGAGGATGGAGGTAGTGGGGAGGGTGCGGGATGGGGGGGATAGAGGTAGTGGGGAGGTAGCGGGGGAGGGGGGATGGAGGTAGTGGGGAGGGTGCGGGATGGGGGGGATGGAGGTAGTGGGGAGGGTGCGGGATGGGGGGGATGGAGGTAGTGGGGAGGTAGCGGGGGAGGGGGGATGGAGGTAGTGGGGAGGGTGCGGGATGGAGGTAGTGGGGAGGGTGCGGGATGGGGGGGATGGAGGTAGTGGGGAGGTAGCGGGGGAGGGGGGATGGAGGTAGTGGGGAGGGTGACCAGCTCCTGTCACCTGCCAATCCACTGCTGCCAGCCTATCCACCCACTTTGCCACCCACCCTTCCACTATCCATCCATCCATCCAATCCCTCTCCACCATCCATCCAGTCCCCCTCCACCATCCCTCCATCCAGTCCCCTCACCATCCATCCACCCAGTCCCCTCACCATCCATCCATCCAGTCCCCTCACCATCCATCCATCCAGTCCCCTCACCATCCATCCATCCAATCCCCTCACCATCCATCCAGTCCCCTCACCATCCATCCATCCATCCAGTCCCCTCACCATCCATCCATCCAGTCCCCTCACCATCCATCCATCCATCCAGTCCCCTCACCATCCATCCATCCATCCAGTCCCCTCACCATCCAGCCATCCATCCAGTCCCCTCACCATCCAGCCATCCATCCAGTCCCCTCACCATCCATCCATCCAGTCCCCTCAGCATCCATCCACCCACCCAATCCCCTCACCATCCATCCATCCAGTCCTCTCATCATCCATCCATCCATCCAGTCCCCTCACCATCCATCCATCCAGTACTCTCATCATCCATCCATCCAGTCCCCTCACCTTCCATAAATCCAGTCCTCTCACCATCCATCCATCCAGTCCTCTCACCATCCATCCATCCAGTCCCCTCACCTTCCATCCATCCAGTCCCCTCACCTTCCATCCATCCAGTCCCCTCACCATCCATCCATCCAGTCCTCTCACCATCCATCTATCCAGTCCCCTCACCTTCCATCCATCCAGTCCCCTCACCATCCACCCAGTCCCCTCACCGTTCATCATGTTGTATTCCCAAATACATTATTCAAGCGGGCAAACAACAAGTACCGAGTCAAATTTTTCAGAGAAATTGACCACGAGTACAGAAAATTACGAGAATTGTGACTTACGAGAACTGTGGTTCCACTGTATATGTAGACTAGAAGTGGTACACGGCAATGCTTGGGATCATTTTTTGCTCTCCCTACTGTCGGGGTTCACCACCATAAGAGGGGCGAGTAACAGTATACCCAAGGTCACTCACCGTAGCCCTGCGGGTCTTCACTCTATCCTCGCGGCGCCACTGTACGCCAGGAGGGTATCCCAGTCAATCCCAACCGGCCTCTGATCGAGAAAGAGTGGGAACACAACTTGTTCTCTTAACTATTGTGTGCCCGCCCCGACACAGGGCTCTACTACTAACCACAAAGTCGCCAACTGGTGTTTCCCGTGTCCAGTAATACGTCAGTGGTTTTGTTGGATTGTGGTAACAGTGGCAAGAACACACTCAATAGATCTGATATCAGGCAGGTATTTATTTCTATCACTCTATTTCCTTTCAGGTATTATATAGCCACAAGAAATATGGAGGGGATGATATAAACACCAAGGTATTTTGTATTTTACTTAAAACTCAAGACATCACAAGAATATATCAATAAGCAAACAACTGTTTCATGCGGAAGTCGCTCGTTCTCGCAAATAATCATGAACTCGCCAAGCTGGCAATGCTCCCCCTCACGTCAATGTCAAAATCAGCTGGGCGACTCCCACCGTGCGAATGTTCGTTTATTTGTTTGGCTGGCGTGAGGCGCCTGTTTCTTTAAATTTGCATGAGTCACTATATTTGTCATCAACACAATACTTCTATAATGGCAAATAGAACGCGCTGAATCACCACACTGATCTCAAGTTCAATAACTCATTCCTACGGCACTTAACGTGATATTTCACTGTACTAGAGTAATGCACTGTACTTAATAATAATTACAATGAATGCACTTAACCACGGTACTGTTCTTAGATTCAGTAATTCCTCTCGTAGGCGATAACACAATTAATCACTGCACACATGAATGACTATTCAATACACAAGCATAGACTTATATGACAATGTCAGACCACGGAGGAAAAATGAAACAGGAATTTCCTTAAGTACTTTCGTATATTAATACATCTTCAGAAGGAGATGTATTACTCCTTCTGAAGATGTATTAATATACGAAAGTACTTAAGGAAATTCCTGTTTCATTTTTCCTCCGTGGTCTGACATTGTCACATTTTTAATCACGTGTTTATTTTCGTGATATACACACATAGACTTATATATATATATATATGGATGAATCATAGACATCAATAATGGTAATAACATAGTTACTGGGCACATAGCCTAACTCCAAATACTGGTATATTTATATATATATACTCTCTCAATAACTGATCATATTAAAGTCTCATGAAAGACATTATCAACACAGTAAATTCATCAATTACTCCGGGTGCCTGCACACACCAATAATAGTAATAATTTCCGTGAGTACTCTATATAGCCCCACTCTGCACACTGGTGCCTTACTGTGACATGGGTGAGCCTTGCTCACGACATACAAAATACTCTGGCTAAATGATGTAGCTGACTAAAGGGGAATTGGGAGGGAAACTAGAATCACCTACTTCCACCTATCCTCCAGTGAGAGTTGAGTTGTAGCTCCTGGTCCAGGCTCCTGCCTCGTGTAGGGAACGCCCCCACACACCCTGTCGTGTCCTCCAGGAACTCAATCAACGTCCCACCATAAACGCGTCGTCTCCGTGCCTTTCCACTGCAGGTCCGTGCTCCTCCACGACTTCTTGTAGGGTTGGAGTCGATCTCCCGGCCGTCAACTTCTCCTCCCAAATACGGCTGCCTGCCTACGTCTCGGCTGCAGTCGTTCGGATTCCCGATTAGTGTCTTCTTTCACTGCTTCCCAATGGATTGGCCCAGCCGCTACGTCGTCACTGTGAAGCTATCAGACGTCCCAGACGATACTGCTTAGACTTCACCTGCACAGCACCCGACCCTGGAGCACTTGATGCTCAATATTTCGTCAATTCCCTCTTCGGTCCACACATGGAATGAAGGAAGACCTCTCAGCGTACGTGCAGACTACGGGTGACGCGTAAGATCCACGGGAGTGGCGTATTACTGTCAAATTGACAGGATCAATCTTCACACATCCGACCACCTTGACGTGTCATGTCAGACTGATTCCCTCCGGAGGATTGGCCCAGCAACTACGTCATCACTGTGAAGCTATCAGCCGTCGCATACGTCGCTGCCTAGACTCCACTCTTGCACAACACCTGTTCCTGGAGCACTTGTTGCTCAATATTCTGTCAATTCCTTCTCTGGTCCAACACATGAACGAAGGAAGACCCCACAGGTGATGGCAGACCACGGGTGATGCGTAAATCCTCCGGAGACAGGGTAAACTGTCCAACTGACAGGACCCCCCAGCGCACGTCCGACCTCCTTGACGTGCTGTCTTAGACTGATGGCGCCACCGTGGCGCTCTGACCGGACCCCCCTTCCTTCGTGACGTCATATTCGCCATGGGAGGTTTTCATTGGCTCCCTGTGCCACATCACTGTCGGCGACCAATCTGGTGCCACTGACGTCACACAGTTTTGGCGGCAAAACAGAGTAGCCAGCGCCATATTGGCTTCCTAAAGGGCCTAAACCACAGGCCAAAATACTCTTCTTTTACAAATTTCTCGGCAAGGCGAGAACACTACACTCTCCCACATATATCAAACTGATGCCTGCGACGTAGAGAATGCTCGGGTAAAGTGGACATAACTCTTACAGCAGGCGTGGGAGAAATATAAGGGGGGGGGAACACCGTCACACTCATTCCCCCCTCTTTCCCTGTCTTCTCTGCCCCCTCTTTCCCCCTCTTCTCTGCCCCCTCTTTCTCCCTCTTTCCCCTCTTCTCTGCCTCCTCTTTCCCCTCTTCTCTTCCCCCTCTTTCTCCCTCTTTCCCCTCTTCTCTGGCCCCCTCTTTCCCCATTCTCCCTTTTTTCCCTCCCTTCTTCTCTGCCCCCCCTCTTTCCCCATTCTCCCTTTGTTTCCTCCCCACTTGCCCCCTCTTCCTCATTCCCTTTCTCCCTGCACCCTTTCCTCTGCCGTCTTTGTTCCCTTCTTCCTCCCCCTTTCCCTCTTTGGCCTCCAACTTTGAACAGAGAGATTTACATTTAGTTTTGAATTCACGTTCATTACTTTCGGGTAAAGAAATCTAGGGACAGGCTAGTCACATTTCACCAATTTTGTGGAAGGAGAGCTTTATTGGGGTAATGGACTTTACCTCCTCTTAATAAGACCAATAGGACTGACCTCAACTAGCCGCCTATGTCCATTCCTTGCCCGAGACCATTTACCCTGCAAAGTTGAGTGGGGTTAGCTTTGAGCATTTGGCTTACAACTTTTGACAGACGAACAAACAAACAATTTACTCTTATAAATGGTTGGTGGGAGGGTATTGGGTAAATAATGAGAGGTAGGAGGGTAATAAGTAAATACTGTAATGGGAGTAGGATGGCATTGAATAAATAATAGGTAGTGGGAGAGTATTGAGTAAATGATGGAAGGTGGTAGGTACAATGGTATTGAGTAAAAATGGAATATAAGAGAGTGTTAACTAGATAATGGAAAGTAGGAGGATAATAAGTAAGGGGGAAGTGAAAATATACAGTACTGAAATATCTATATCTTTGTGATGGTTGGTAAAATATTAAATTATCTTTACAGGGAACAGAAAGTCGGGCAGTAATGAGGCAGACAGTGTTTTGTCATCTTTTAGAAATTTCCTGAATCCTGCGCAAGTAAAAGATTTAGCAGATCATCCTCCTGAGGAAGCTTTGGAATGGTGTCGTCTGCTTCCTTCTGATGTCCAGTGTAGGGTAGTTGTTGCAGGTGGAGATGGAACTGTGGGATGGATTTTTAATGCAATTCACAAGATGAAATTAATGGTAAGAATAAGTGTGCTATGCTTTATATAGCTAAACTACCATGCCGAGCAGCCTTAAAATATGACATTCCCCTGTGCGCCCAAAATAAATTCTCTGCAAAAAATATTTTCTCTTCTTATATTGTTAAAATGCAGTCTCTGATAATGGGAAACTAAAAAAATTGTATGTAACATACAATTGCCAGTGATGGAGTTGAGTAGTTGAGCGATGGAGTTCTTGGGGTCACTTGACCCCACCTCCCTGTTGGGTAGCAGTTGCCACAAATATAATTTTTCATAATTATTTTTTGGGCGGAGCCCTTTCGGCTCCCCGGAGCTATTCAGCCTGATACGTATATCATTAGACTTTGGCATCAGTCGATGTGGGTGCAGTTCTAGGCCTACCGGGGGCCACGACCCAGAACCTGGTCCCCCCTTAGAGAGGCACAAGGAGCAATGGCCTATAGAAATACCCATGGGATTTGGAGCATTCTATGTCTGCCATCGACCAGGTCAGGCACCCAGAAAGGTAAGTTCCTCAAAACAAACCAATATTCTGGTTAAAATGACTAAAATAGACGAAAGAGTGGATAGAACTCCCCAAATGAAAACGAGCAAACGAGCATGACGTCACACGAGCCGCGCCACATGTCTACGCAGCTCCCACCTCCCTGGAAGAGGGAAGGGGGAGGCCCAGACCTCTCGCACCAGCTATCCACACCCCCAGTTTGAGGCTGGATGTCAAAACATGCGAGAAACCGCCAACCGGGAGTAGGGAAGGGGTTGCTGCGGAGCCTCCGGGTCTCACCCAGAAAATGGCGTTTCATTACGTTCAATGCTGGTTTTCTTATGGGGGAGCCCCTTCGGCTCCCCAGAGCTACATCACAAAAGACAAAAACAAGAGGGACTTATCCGGGAGGCTGTTGGCACTCGCTCCTCAACCCGAAGTCGAGACAACAGGCTGTAACCACCGACTCAAAGCGACACATGCCCGACCAGGCCCAGGAACATTTACAAGGTAGCGTGCAGCCAGGACCCTGTTCGACTGCCAAAACCCCCATGCCTGAATGTCAGCCCAAGACATGTTACCAAAGAGGGCAGCAAGCACAGCAAACTTACAAACGTCATGGGCATGAAGATAGACTGCAGGCTGGCTGGACCGAATAATGCTGTGGATGACCTAAGAGATTCGAACCCTGGAACAGGGAAGAAGGGAAATCGGATCAACCCAAAGCGTGTCTCCGGTCACAAAGGCTGTGGCATGCAAATATTGGTAGAGAGCCGCAACCGGACACAACACATGATGTACGCCCAGCCTGACCAACCAAATATCAACAACCCTCTGTAACGCAGCAGTCACACTCTTCGCCAGAAAAGGAGACGGCTGCAGACGAACAAACTTATCACCTTGACCAAAAGAGCAGAAATCCCTGCGCCGGAGGAGAGCATGAAGATCCTCAGCCCAACCCCCAGAGGCCAATGCCAACAAAAAAAGAGCTTTGGATAAACAATCCTGAACCGAAGGGGCCACAAAAAACTGGGGAGAAGATAGATAAGAGGGACTCGATCCAAAGACCAGGATGGCTCAAGCAGCGCATGAGCAGGCCAGAGGTGAAGCAACTCACGAGACAGCTTGCAAAACAGAGCAGAAGCAACGTCAATACCGAACACAAGCTGCAGTGGCTCCGCCAGCATTGCATGATATGAGGTGACAGTATTCAGCATTAGATGATGGTTCTGAAACAACCACGAGAGAAGTGACAACAACCTTAACAGAAAGCGAAGTTCAACCTTTCAAGTTCAAACTTAACTCTCTGGGTACCTGGCTCGGTCGATGACAGACATTGAATGCTCCAAATCACATGTCACTTCTATAGGCCATTGCTCTTCATGCCTCTCTGAAGGAGCCAGGTTCTGTCTTGTGGTCCCTGGTAAGCCTAGAACTCCATTCACACTGACTGATGCCAAAGTCTAATAATTTTCTTCTGTCTTGTGGTCCCTGGTAAGCCTAGAACTCCATTCACACTGACTGATGCCAAAGTCTAATAATATTCTTCTGTCTTGTGGTCCCTGGTAAGCCTAGAACTCCATTCACACTGACTGATGCCAAAGTCTAATAATATTCATATCAGCCTGGATAGCTCTGGGGAGCCTCTGGGTCTCAACCAGAAAATGGCATTTCATTATACATTCAACCCTGTTTTTCTGTGGGGAGCCCCTATGACTCCCTGGAGCTTATCGGGCTAATGTATGTTATATTAGACCGGGACAGTAGCTAAGGAGTTCAGACCTACCAGGGACCAGCGCCAGAACCTGGTCCCTTCAGAGAGGTTTCAGGGAGCAATGGCCCTGGAAAACCCCCTTGTGGTTGGGGTTTTCCTGATCTGCCATTGACTGGGGTTAGGCACCCAGAAAGGTAGGCATAACAAAACAAACCCCACATGGTATAAAACTAAAACAAAAAACTGAACAGAGAGGTAGAAACTCCCTACAATCCCAAGGAAACAAGCAAACATCACACTTTACTGCCGCGCTGATCGTCTGCGCAGCCCTCCCCGCCCCGAGAGGGGAAGGTTATCTTGAGATGATTTCGGGGCTTTTGTGTCCCCGCAGCCCGGTCCTCGACCAGGCCTCCACCCCCAGGAAATAGCCCGTGACAGCTGACTAACACCCAGGTACCTATTTTACTGCAAGGTAACAGGGGCATAGGGTGAAAGAAACTCTGCCCATTGTTTCTCGCCGGCGCCCGGGATCGAACCCGGGACCACAGGATCACAAGTCCAGCGTGCTGTCCGCTCGGCCGACCGGCTCCCAGGGGGAGGGGGAGCCCCGGACCTCACCGAGCCAGCTGCCTAGCATCAGTTCGTAAGCTAATGTCAACTGGGATAGGTGCGTCACCTCAGTTTCCTAGGCGGTGTTTGCCTTGTGTGGTGTTCACTGCCGTGTGTTGTGTTGTGCAGTGGCCAGGTGTTCCTCATCAGTACCAGGGCTGCATGCGCTTAGGGGCTTCCTTCCCTAAGCACCCTGTGAGTACTGCCTCTGCGTGACAGGGTTATCTTCCCTGGGCGTTCGGGAACCATTCCCATAGAGGTTCTTGCTGCTCGGCATTTGCCTCGCCTGTTGGGGCCAGCTGGGGCTTGGAGCCCTTGTTTGGCCCTGGGTAGGGACTGGTATTGTGCTGGTTACAGCGTCAAGGTGTTGCGCAACCTGCCACCTAAGCGGCGACCGGTTCCTGTTGCCTCTGGAGAGACGGTGTACTTTTGCGGGGTTTGTCTTTTATTTTTATTTTCATTTACCTGGTGGGGGTCTGCCCAGTGTGGCTATAGTTCCACTGGTAGTGTTTGGTGGCCCTCTGCTAGGCCCCCGTGATTGTACACGTAGCAGGGGTTTTCAGTGTTGTCTTCTACCCCCTTGTTTTTTTGGGTTTCTTAACCGGTTAGCAACACCTTGCCCGGGCTTCCCGTAGTTGTTACCCTACGGGCCCTGGAAACCCCTGTCGGGGCTCGGTGGACCATTGAATGTGTCTTCCGGGTTCCAACCCATCTTGTACGGGATCATTGGTTGCTGTGCCCTTGAGACAAGGGCACAGCAACTTTTGGGTGACAATCGCCACTTTTACCTCCGTCATGGTGCCTGTTGGGTCATTGACACCTTGACCCGGAGTCTTGCGAGATATTCTCTGCTTGTTCTCCAGTACTCTACTGATGTTATTACTGTTCAGAGTACAGGTGGCATCTATGTTGCAAGCTAGGTTAGGTTGCTGCAACACGTTAGGTTGGTTTCCCACTTGGATGCCCTGGGGCCGCCTCGTTTTAGTTAGGTACTGTTTGCCCCTTTCCCTCCCTGTTCCCGACTCCGGACCGTCTGCGGGTTTCGGAGTTGGGGCGGGGTTTAGTTCCAGCCGAGACTCGGGCGGTTTCGGGGGGCTGCCCCGTTCCGGTTGGGGACGGAGGTTTTTGAGCCTATTGCTCCTGCCAAGGCTTCCGGGTCTTACCAGCGGCCCTTTCTTGTTGCCTTTCCTATGGACTCTTCCTTTTCTTTAAGGGCGGAGAGCTTGGATGATGGCTGTACCCCGGGGCCTCTGTTGCGGTTTCCCGGGGCTGTGGGGGATGCCTGCTAGCAGTTCTGGATCTGTTTGACCCTGCCGGGGTTTTCTGCTTCTGGGCGGAGTTTTTCGCCCATCTAGTCTGCTTGCTTCCCACTTTTGCTGGCGTGCTTTCGTATCTTTTGCGTCGGTCACAGCCCCCTGTTCTGGTGGCCATTTTCTTCTGCCAGTTTCCCGGCGTGGCCACCAGGGCGGCGTTGCGATGACTGGCTGGTGTGGGTTCCCAGTAGGTCCACTTGTCTGCTGGCTAGGTGTGTGGTTCTTTCCAGATCTTCGGGTTTAGTTTCCTGATGATCTGGAGGCCGTTTCATCTGTTTCCGGCCCGGGTTTGGACCTGGCTGGGTCTTGTTTAGGGCTCTTGGGCCGCTCCTTGTCCTTCCCTCCAGAAGTGTTGCTAGGGCTGTGGTCCCGCCTTCGGCTGTTCATGAGGGGTACTGGGTTGCTCTGCGGTTGCTCGAGCAGTTGTGCGGGAGTCTGAACTTCAACGTGCTGGTCTGCCCACAGGGTCGGGTTTGGCTTTGGCATCTGTTAGGTTCCTTCGGAGACTCCCTTTCCGCCTCTTGTAATCGTTGGGTTCATTCCTCCAGCGATCTTGTGTTGGTGCTGCGTCACCAGCTTCCTTTCTGTGGTGAGCCCCTACGGCTCCCTGGAGCTTATCGGGCTAATGTGTGTTATGTTAGACCGGGACATTAGCTAAGGAGTTCAGACCTACCAGGGACCAGCGCCAGAACCTGGCCCCTTCAGAGAGGTTTCAGGAAGCAATGGCCCTGGAAAACCCCATATGGTTGGGGGTTTTCCTTATCTGCCATCGACCGGGGTTAGGCACCCAGAAAGGTAGGCGTAACAAAACAAACCCCACATGGTAAGAAACTACAACAAAAACCGAACAGAGGTAGAAAACTCCCTACAATCCCAAG